TGGACTAAGTTGTGTCGTGTGTGTGTGCCTCCCTCTTTCTTCCTTCTCTGCTCTCTCGCTCTCGCTCTGTCGCCTCTCTCTACCTCTCTCTTTCTTTCTCTTTCGCTTTTCTTCTCCCTTCCTTCGTCTTCCCTCCTTCTTCTCCTCTCCTCCATTCCTTTTCACTCCCAACGTTACTCTCCTTCCCACCACCATACCTTCTTTCTATGCTTCCCTCCATCTCCTCAATCTAATCATTTTTCACCTTGCCTTCCCGTCTCTTTATGGTTCAGGCTATCAATTGATTGCTGGTCACTGATCGCGAGATCCTTAGGTCAAGTCCCCCGCTGGTAGGAATTTTCACACTAGCATAGTTAGATCACGTTCATCCTGTCTGAAGAGTTCAGCGGGCCAGCGGCTCGAACGTAGTTTATTCCGGTTTTGTTGATCAAAACAGTGAAATCCGAGCACAGTACCCTAAAAACAATAGTAAGTCAGCGGACGCGCGCGACAATCTTTCTTTCCTCTTCCATTTCCTATCCTTACCCCTTACTGTATACTTACCAACACTACACTTACCATCACATTCGGCAAGGATAAGTCAAGTTAGAGCTTGTCTCGCTGGGCTGTTTCCTGCGTTACGAAGCCGCACGTCGATCTGTAGGGCTAGCCAATCCGCCTTTCAGGGCGGAAATGAGCGAACTTCAAATTAATTTTTTTGAAATTTAATTCTATTCGATTGTTTAGTAAATAGTTCTTTTTAATAAACTCTTACAATGTATTGATGACTTTATAATTTAACTTATCTAACAATTATCCTAACTTAATATCGATTACAATGTGAGGAACCCTTAAGGCACGCATAAAACTATTCCAGATCTGAAAACAATTTACAAAAATATTGAATGGTATTTATTTTTATGCGAGTGGAATGTATGTGTTTTTGCAAAGATGAATGAAGTAGGTTTGGATATGTGTTGTATGTTGAGACAAATTGGGGCTGGTAGATATGAATGTCTTCTAGGTGATCGAGTTGAATTAATGTAATTATATAGATATGAACCAGGATCATTAAGTGATTGTACCGGGGAATTGGTTCGGTATGTACTATTTGAATTTTGTTGATGTTTGTTTTGCAACCACTGATCATACTGCAGGCGTTAGAGAAAGAGTAGTCTGATTATTGTTTTGAATAAATTATTGCTGTTTGTATGACGGTAATTTATCTGTTATTAGAGTTTTTTTAATTATGCAATTTGTTTTGTTTGTATTATTTGAGTTCTCTGTCCTGTTCTCCAGTTCAATTGGAGTCCATGATGCAGTCAAGATATTTTATGGGTATTTGTAGGATACCATGGCATGGTTTTATTTAAAAGTGAGTTGGTGGTGAAGTATATGCGTCTTAAAAGAAATATTTTACTCCATTTTGGTTTGGTTTAATTTTATTTTTATTTGGATGACCAACTTGTTATTTGTTTAGATACAGTTGTATTGTTATTTAATATTGTTAGAGAGTGAACTGGAGAAATATAGTGTGTCATCTGCAAAATTGTGCTGTTTTTACCTGTTTCATCAATGGGATGGTCTGACTACATATAGATTAAACAGTGTGTGATAGGGAACCTTGTTTAACTGCTTTGATTAACCTGGGGTTGATTGATAGTGTTGATTGTTATACTGCCCCCCCCAAAAAAAGGTTCTGTTTTGGGGATTTAAAGAAAAAATAGTTTTTATTTTTTTTGGGGGGGATTACTTGAGGGGGTTGATCGTAATTGGACGTGCTATTTCTCTTAAGTTTATAAATTGTGCCTGGTGCCAGACTCTATCAAATGCCTTGTTTATGTAGGATATAGGATAATTGTAGGATTTTTTCACTGAAATCTGTGTTGAGATGTTCTTGTGATTTTAGACTTAAACTTTAAAATGCAACAACATTATCAGCCTTTAGCAGTTGCCTCCAGTATCAAGCCTCTCTCTCCTCCCTCCATCTTCCCCTCCCTCTCCCTCCCACCATATTCTCCTCCCTCCCTCCATCTTCCACTATTTTCCTTCATCTTCCCCTGGCTCCATCTCCCTCTCCATCTTTTTCCCTCCCTTCTTTCTTCCTTTCATTTTCTCTCTACCTATCTGTACCCCTCTCTCTCGCCTCCTTGCCCTTTTCCGTCCTTCATATGTGACTTTCAATATGAGATTCCGATGAAATGGGAAGGAATAGGAGGCAAACAAAACATTTTGTCCCCAGCATTGCTCTACACTCCGATTCAGGCGTTCACTTACTGTTCTGTATGTCCTGTTTTCTTGCTTGTGAAGTCTCGTATCAATTATAGTAAATTAATGAGAGGTTTCTCCGTATCTGCTAAAAGCCGTTAATTACCGCTAAATCGACCGTTTCGAATTCCACACTGACGTAAAGCATTCTTCCGCAGTTTCCAGCAACACGGAGCTGTTATGAAGCGTCAAATGTCAGTTGAACTATTACTGGGGAAGATTACAAACATTTATTGCCATCATGCTGGACCAGAGTTCCAAAGATTTTCGTGTACGGCACGATAATGGCATGGAAACAAGACATTACAATAGATCAATGTCAAAGGTCAGTGACTCTCGGATATTACGTGCCTAGCTTTCTCCTTCGTTTGTGGCTCATTTAAGAATATCCATCTACTTGTAGTAGGAATATTCAGCTACTCGTAGTTCTGACGGAATTTTCTCTCAAATTGTAGGGACATGTAGTAATATGAGGATGGAGTATAAACACACCAACAGTCCCTAAAAATGGAAGTGGGGACAAGAACGAAGGGTCGTGCGCGCTCATTAGCAGGTTAAATAACGTTCTGCTCCGCCAAGTACTATACGTTCAGCAGAGGAAGTCACGATGGATACGACAGATCAGCGAAGATTCTCATTTCTTATTTCGCTCCTTCTTAGAAACCGCCAAGACATACTCATGGCTGTCGTGGGGGCGACAGGGACGACTTAGAGGAAAAGATTATACTCGAAGTTGAGTATCTGCGAATCTCCACACCAATAGCACCGCTGTCGGGGAAAAAATTATCCGAGACATTAACATGGAACAGACGACGGTGAAAGAGACGGAACGGTTAGAGTTACTCTTGGCTGAAAAAAAGGCAGTACTGATGGTATCGGCAGAAATGTCAAGATGTCAGTGTAAGAGCTGACCACTCTGATTGCCAGACAGACAAAGAAATAAGAAATAAATTGTTAAACGGTTTGGTGGACGTAAAATCTGTGGACAAAGCTGTTATGAACACAGGGAAGAAAACGAAATGAAATGTACATATCGTAATGGAAGCTGGAGATGATTTGTCTATAATATTGGTTAAGATAATTGGAAATGGTATTGAATACGCAGTGTTTGATGTTAATAAATGAAACAATTATTAGAAAATGAAAGGTCTCTATTACAAAAAGGGCTAGAGAGAGCTGCAGAGAGCTGGTTGCCATGCGGATTCATGAAAATAGATGACCGAAAAAGGCAGAACCAAACTCTTAGGAGAAATTGATGAAACTTGGACTACCGCGGAATCATGAGGTACCTACACAAATATCTAGCGCAAGGAACGAATAGAAGAGAAAATAACGAAGGATTCCAAACCTTTAGTGCACTTTCAGTGCTTATAGGCGCAATGCAATGAAAGCTAGAGGCCCTCCAGAAAATAAAGGTAACTCAGGAGGCATGGACCGGCCAAAATAGGTTCAATAAGATGGCGTTGAGTTCGATTGTACCCAAATCGTTTGGAGTTTCTCAACATTAAAGCAATGCGTTGAATCATCGAGGGATGGCCAGTGGGGGCTGGCCAGACAGTACGTCCAATGGGATAGGTTACGTCTGAATGTTCACAATTGCTGCTAATTATAGAGTGCAGTTGCAAGTATGACACTTATCAGAAACGACACAATCCCAAGAAACGACAGAATCCCAAACTTTATCCGCAACAAATTCTAAATTTCGTCATTGGTTGTAAGCAACTTGTAATTCAAATTACTAGTAATCCTCATTTAATTATCTTCTCACCTCATTCAATGTACAGTTTACACTTTGTAGGTTTTGAGTAAATATTTTTTAACAATACGAAGAAAGAAATAGAGGAGGGTGGAAAGCAGGCGGAAGGCGTGCGAAGGGCGGAAGGACGACAAGCGGAAGGCGAGCAGAAAACGAGCAGAAGGTGGACAGAAGGCGGGTGGAATGCGGACAGAAGTGGAGCGGAAAGCAGACGGAAAGAGGGCGGAAGACGGGCGGACAGCGAGAGAAGTCGAACAGAAGCCGAGCAGAAGGCGAGCGGAAAGTGGGCTGAAGATAAGCGGGTAGGCGACGAATGAGCAAACAAGCGGAGAAACATGAGCGTAAAGAGAGTGAGGCGGGCGGACGGGCGAAGCGGCAAGGTGAGTGGAGGCGGAGCAAGAAGGCTGAGCGGAAAGGTGAGCGGAAAACTGGAGCGGAAGAGACACGGAGCGAAGCAGAGCGTTTCGAAAAGGAGCGATGGTGGAAGAGAGTTGGAAGCGGGCAGGAGGCGGGGCGAGGACGGAAGGCGAACCGACGGAAGGCGGGAGCGCGTAAGGGTGAGACGGATGGTTGAGCGTAAGGGGAGCAGGCGCGTAAGTGGACCAGGATAGATGCGGGATGACGGCGGGGTGACGGGCGGCGGCGATGACCGCGGTGGACGGCCGGAGGTGGACGGCGGGCTGCACGGCGGGGTGGCACGCGGGTGACGCAATGTGACGTTGAAATATGGATGTGGGTGGGCGAGCGGCAAGTTGGCGACGAGTGGTGGGCGGGAACTTGTTGTCGAGGGGCGGTGCAAAGGTGTTAGTGGGGTTGGTGTGAGCGGCTGCTGTAAGCCTGAGTGCGCAGGGGGAGGGTCGGCGGGTGGTGGCGGAGCCGGGTTCGGCCGCGGGCGTATGAGTGAGTGCGGGGGCGCGGGTCACCGCGCGCCGTCGTGGCCGCCGCCGCCCGCGCGGCGCCTCTGGAGTTCAGGTCTCGCGCCCCGTCTGCGCTCAGCATGGCCTCCGCTCCGCTGCCCGTGCTGCGCGGGCTGCTGTGCTCGCGGCTGCCGCCGCGCCCGCCCCCGCCGCCGGCCCTGCCGAAACTCCGTAAGTCCTCCTTCCAGAGCATCGCGCCTGCCTTCGTTTTAGTCAACAACTTATTACTACTTTACTCTTCTGCCGTTGGACACTGCGTAGTAATTCATTATGAACACATTCCATGACTTAATGAGACCAGGATATACCGTTTGTAGTGCCCATAATTTCCACTTTCTTTATTATAGTAAACACATTTACTCAAAATCCTACACTTTTGTTTTGTTTTTTCGACGCGAATAAACTGTATTACGTGTTTGGACAGAAACCGAAAATGTAGTAAAAATACATTAAATAAATTCTGGATTGCTGTACCCGGTGCTACGGTACACCCGTAGGAATTGAAGAGGATGAGACATTTTTTTGTTATTCGAAAATTTAAATATGCATTAAAATATGAATTTGAATATTTGTTCATTTGCATTGGAATATTTGTTCGCTTAAACTTCGCATAAACGAGTGTGAGTAGTGGGGTAATTGATATTTTTGATTGTATTTCTGTTTCCCTTTTAGTTTTTTATGCTAATAATTTTTATATGATACATTGAAGTTAAGCTATTGGCGAAAAAGTACGTGTATAAAATTTTACTATACAATTGAAAACTCCCAACTTTCTCTTTCGTTTTAGTTTGCTATTCAACTTCAAAAACGACCACATAATCACACAAGTGGATATCACAAAAAAAACATTTCGAAAAATTCGAAACAGTTTAACATATCTCCAGCATAATACATTTTCACCCAAATTTGAAAGTTTTTCTTCACAAGGGAAATAAAATCTGATCTTTAATTTTTAAATGCAAGAGTTTAAATCATTTCAAGTTGCCAGCTTTCAACATAGGATTCTAAAGGTTGCCTGAGATGGATCCAGTATTTCGTAGTATTGTCAAAGGTCAGGGAATAGCTATATTAAGAATGCAACAGATGTTCAGGAATGCTACTCAAAGAGTTGCTTAATGTAAATATACATTTATTAGGAAATACCGCTCCTCGGAGCCATTATTAAAACAATAGTTTAAACTGACATTTTTTGTTTGCACATGAAGTACATTTCATAAATTATGTTACCTAGATTATAAACAACCACATAACGATCAAACACTCCTTATGTGCCTTGCTGTATGGATTTTCTTCTCAATATTGTGTACAAATACTCCGAATGAGCAGTTGAGCATATAAATATTAGATAAATGTAGTGATATTATTCCACAGCACAATATAACTTCCAGACTAAGTGCACATCGCAATAAGTGCATGTCACAAGTGATTATTGTCAGTGAACACGGAATCATTGAATTCTTCATTCATGATTGAAATTTATATGGGGAACATGTCGTAAATAATATTCACTCAAGAGGAATTTAATGATGGACATATTTAAAGTTTCAGGATAATATTGGGGAAATATAATATTTTGAAAATAAAAATATTTCGCGTGCGATTTTGAAAATAACGATAACGATAACATTAAATATTCTGTATCTAATACACAGAAAGAGCAAAGAATTAAATTCAAACTGCATTGAGACAGTGACATTTAACGCAGACACTTTTTGCTATGAGTAATTCAAGGTCACTTTCCTGATATTTGCCGCGTTAATAACACACCTGAGATAGAAGTCGTCTGCAGCCAAGATCAGAAAAAAATGCTGATATCGTGCGCGAAGTAATTTTGTCTTCTACTATTTTTTTTTGCTTTTCCCGTTATAACTAGCGGTTTACCTGCCGTTAATTAGTGAAAATTACCTTGACTCTTTTAGGGTTCGATCTACATCGAGGTGGATATTTTCTGGGGTCACGATTGTCATTTTTACACTTTCGTGTGGTTTAAGGAAGCAATAAACTCGATTACTATTGCGGTTTGCAAATACTCATGAAGAACAGAAACTTTGTTGCATTCTTGCATTAGCTCTTAGTAACAAACTTGTTGCTATGAAAATACATATGTAATTTTTCTCTGGGAAGAATGGGTTACGAGGAAATGTCTGTTTCTTGTAGCGATATTTTCTAGTTAACTTTTATTTAATAACGTTTAATATACGAACATGGAAGAGAACACACGCAATATATCCACAAATGATCATCCCATTTAGTGGGAGTGGCTATCCACTTAAGCGTGTGCGACGAATATGACGTGATCTTTAGGTTTGTCGCAGACTAAATGTTACAAATTTCTAGGGTATGTAGAGGGGGCCATAAAACATATTTTTTTTACTAATGAGCATGTGATGAAAAATCTCAAAGAAGAACGTTACACATGTGGCATTAGTCCTTGATTAGTAGGTAAACTCATCTTGTACACGTGTTAAGTGGGTTCATCAAATTTCATTGCCGCACACCGGCATGTTTAAGATCCAACGAACCACCATGTATCCAAAGGCACCATTGCTGCTACCAAGTTTCAATTAGTGTGCTTCGAAGCGATTACGAAAATGCACGCCTGAAGGGCTAGTATTAATTTCTTCTCTATTTAAAGAGTTCAAAATCCATAGTAAAAAGTAATAGTCCAGTTCCATAAGCCGCTTTTGGGAATATTAGATCATTGCAGTTAGTTTATTAGATCATTGTAGTGCATTATTGTTGAGGAAGTAGGTCAAAGGACATTATTATTCTTTTAAGTGTTGTTAGTTCGAATCCAGCAAAAGTCACATGCTTTTGTTTGTTTGTTGTTTTTATCTCAGCCAATCCACCGCGAGATACACGTAGTATCTGGAGAGTCTTCCTGTTTGTGAGGTAGTTCCAAAATTTCTGATGTTTGTCTATTTCTTGGATCACGACGCAACACGTTTTCGCCCTCTGTACCGGTTATGGGTCAGTGGGCTTGGCTTTTAGTCGGTCATTGCGGTGATGCAGAAGCGAAATGAGAAAATTCAGTGGAAATTGCAGCAGATCTACGATAAATACAGAAGTCCAAGACGGGGGCCAGTTGTAGAATCTAAGTCCCCACACACTGTGTGGTGTCCTCTATCAGTATTTCCTTTTCTTCCAGGATAGGGAAGGAAGGGTCGCGCGCTGTCCTTAACACATTGTTTAAAGTACAGCTTCGGAACCAGCGAAGTGGCCAAGTATTAGGGGTGTGGAATTCACTCCGTGCAGTGCTGTCTTCGAAACTTCTTGATAGCTAGTGTTGAAAAACCGCCAACTTCGCATATCAAAGGGAGGAACTCCCAAAAGTTCAGCTGCGGACTCATATCTATATGCGCTATCCCAGACGGTGGCCTAGTTCTTTTATTGCTTGTTAATGTGGGGTTGACGTCAACAAATAACATTTTCCATTTCATTCCATCACCCTGGAAGACCAAATCATTCGTGCTTCATCGCCAACCAGGATTCTAGTCCCAATGGTAGCAGGATTTTCGACACGTGCTACATAACTGCCTCCGATTCAGCCACTGGAGGAGAATTCTAGCGGTCGGCTGCTCTTACAGGTGGTTTTCTGTGGTTTCTCCGATCAACACCACGCGTATACCGGAGCAGTACCCCAACAAATGGGCTACGGACCGCGCGAGATATGTCGTTTCTCTTCCTTGCCATATTCTCAACCCTTACTTGTACGTATACTAATATGTGTTACACTACCACACATGCCGGGAGGCAGGTGGTGAGCTTAGAATTTGTCCCGGCTGGGGCGGTGCCTCGCTGGTTGGGATGGAGGTAACTCCACCTCCCGCGATAAAAACACGCAAAACTCTTAAGGGACTAATGACCCCGGAATCACTAATCCATCATTTCCTCGGCATTTGTCGATTTGACCCCCTTGAAGTTATTTTAATCAACTCTCCTTGGAGAAAACTGCGGTTCGCACCTGGAAACAGGCGGGCTATTTGCTCAGATGACTCGCACTCGCCCTGGCCCCAGGCGGAAGGATCGGAAGGAAAAGCGGCGGTGCTGCGCGGCGCCCGAGGAAGCGCGATGCGCTGGCTGCCGTTAGGCGCCGCCGGAGAGAGCTGAGACCCGACCCCTCCCCCTCCCCCTCCTCAGACGCGGCTGGCCTTGCGCTGCGACCGCGCCCGTTCCCGCCCCTCCCCCCGCTGACCGCTGACGCTGATCCCCGCTGCGCTGGATGGCCAGTGGGCGCCGCTCGGCCGCGAGCTTTGTTCCGGCGCTCGGCGAGGCCTCCAAGCCAGCGTTTCCGCTCCGCGGTCAGGCTCATGTGAAGGCTCTCGGCTGCCCGGGTGACGCAGCGTCCAAGGAACTGATCATCATACGTTTCGATCATCATACCGTGGACTTCTTCAGAGGTGGAGTGTGCTAGGATGATCGGCGCACTGATTTTTATACTGTGTAGCCATGTAGGGACCAGGGTACTGATTGGTTTGGTGGCCGATGTCCCGATCTCCACACGACGTCCTGGTTCCTATACAGTCACACAGAACAAAATCCCGAGCATTCACCAACCTGGCGCACTGCATCCCTGAGGAAGTCCACGTTATGATGATCGAATCGTCGGCATCACTAGCGGCGACGCGGCGTCACCTGGACAGCCGAGAGGTTCCACAGCATTCCGCTGTCTGTTCTGCGTTCTTGTCACGACGACGGCGGAGTTTAGACAAAAGCAGCTTCGATGGGCTAAACCGTTGTTGATAGTTTTCCGCAGTTTCTTCGATCGATAACAGACGAATGCCGGAGCAACGGACCGCGCGCGATCTTTCCTTCCTCTTCCATTACACACGTACGCTCTCAATACAGTGCCCGGCTGGGGAAGATGGATATCTTCCAAGTGGAAAGAAAATTTCTCGCAAGCTGACGTGTAGGTCGGGACTGGATTTCGCCAATCATCGGGGAAGGAAACGTCGCTTCCTCCCGAAATAAAACATTTTCCACTCTCAAAGAGCTAATCACCGTAGCATTTGACGTGCCCAGAAACATCAGTCAATCAATCTCAGAGGTCGGATGCAACTTCAACAGACTCGTCATTACCCGGAACACGGTTTACCGAGGATGTCATAAGAAGAATAAACTTATCTATTAGAAAATGGGACGTATAATTATATAAACTGGTTTTGGCAGCAGTACCGAGCGTACTGTACAATGTCGTCATCAATTCTAGGTTTTCCTAAATTCGCTAATCATCGGTCTCATCTTTGAAACATTGTGTTTATCATTTACTGTACCTCAGAGATCAAGTGTACAGTACTTCACAGGAGGACAGAGACTCTGGTCGTAATACTGAAATTACAGCTTCTTTTTGCAAGCTCAGATAGGTGTTAATAATGTTGGAGATTACTATTGTATACTTTTAGGCGCATTTTTTCCCTGAAAAATGTTAATATAAAACCCTGCATATCACTGAAAATGGAGCTAAGATCCTTGACTTCTAAAGTACAGATGCCAGCAGTTTTAATTATGTCTCTGTGTCAATGGTAAACGCATTAATTTCTTAATTATGTGATACATAATTTGAATTTTTATTGTTGAAATAAACTTTCTACTACTTGAAGTGGTGTCAGGTCCAATCACCTCATAACCAAGAGTTTATTGAACATCATTTTGACTGACAAACTGGAACCATTGCTGTACTTTTGATATTGTTCTACCTTACGGTACCGTGCAATACCCGAAAATACCGAATCATAGAGAGTTTTTTTGCTGCGAGAATCAAGATATCGAATGCTCAAAACACCATCATCTTTGCTAGTGCACATTTGCTAACTCTAACATGTTGAAAGAATACAACTTGCATCCTGGTCTATCCAGTTCTGTTGTGTGTATGACAAAATGTACATGTTCGAACTTAGGACGTTACAATATGCTGGTATTGCACAATTAAGGGTGTTCTAGGACAGAAATGTTTGAAAGAAAGCAATATTGTCGCTGGAAATCTGTTGTAAGATCTTTAGTTTTTAACGTTATTTTGGTATGCCAAACATAGATTCAAAATATATTCCATCTTTTAGGTCTGGGTCAATTATTACAGGTTATCAAATAACCGTATTTGAAGTTGTGAGTCACTCTTTACGCACTAAAAATAGTATCGGTTTGATGATATTCAGTAATCCCACAATGATCTATAAACACTTTCAATCCTATTTTATAAATAATTCAAGGATTAATTGCAAATAGATGCTTTCTTGTTCCATTAGTATTGACGAAGTAGTATTAATAATCGTGTTCATTGGGTAGGCAATGAGTAGTTTACACAGGCCTGAGGAAAAGTTAGGGTCAGGTGAGTTTATTTGTTTTCATGGCAATTTAAAAGGTCGGGCAACGTAATGATAACCCTAACATCACTCATCAAAAATCAATATCCTGGAATTCCCCTCGCCCCTAGAACATTGTTAACCTAATGTTATAGAAACACGTTACTGTAAGTACGACATATAGTGTATAGTATGATGTAGGAAGTGTAATATACAAGTTGAGAAATGTTTGAGTTTTTAACAACTTTGTTTTTCTTTTGGCTTGCAATAATTACAAATATGAGAGTTATCTCTGTGTTCCCTCCATCACTTCGATTGTGTTATAACGAATTTAATAGCAATCACATTATTTCACTACAATTCCAATTCTATGCTATTTGAATTCGTTAAGACCTAACCTTCCACCAATTATCTAGATAATGAAATGGTCTATTTCGATGGAAATTTTAGACGTCAACTACTCTGATCAGTTTCATGCGGATTCCCAAGCAGATACTAAACATAGATGGCGCACGATTCTTCCATCCCCATCTTTCCCTCACATCCTTATGATGGCACTACGCAGCTTCCTTCCATGGTCTAGAAAGACTAGGGCATTGAGGTTGCCAGGCCAAAACACACGTTTTGCATCGCAAATACAAATTAATAAGCAACCTGTTAATGTTATTAAGTTCTTGTATTTATATCTTTATTAGAATTTACACAGACATGCCGTTAATACGAGTAACTGTCAACAAGGAATGAGGAGATATTAATATATAAACTAAACATAACGATAACACTCACTCAAGAAACATTGTTTTCTGCATAGGAAATGAATTCGTCAAATGCATTCAGAAATGTCCCACTCTATTGCGCAAGATGTTTTTGTTCAGTTTATTTAGAACTGGTCTGACTATCTTGCAATCTTTTGTTCAAGGTGTTTCCGTCAGTCGTTACGTAACGTTTTGTGAACGGTTTTGACGCAAGAAGTGCACAATAATTACGCCTTAAAAACAAATTCAAAATATTACAGAGCCAATTTATTGTGAGAAATGTGGTTTTCGTTAGAAAAAAAAATGTTCACGTAGATTTCCGTAAAATTTTACGGAAAGAACATAATCGCAAATATATTGGATTCCTGCAAGAAGAATTATTATTGAATTTCTAGAACATTTCCTTTTCTAGCTTGAACTAGCAATATGAGCTTTCATACAGTGTCAAATACAGTACGGGGGGAAGAAACAAGGGTAAGGAAGGAAGACATGTTGTTTGTAGGACAGCTTCTGCATTCGCACAACACTCGGGAGATAAAAAATCATTATATCCTCATTTTATTCGGGCTCTCAGGAGACCAGCTTCTCCCAACCACAACTTTCAATGTACTCGTTGGAAGAGCTTCTCGTCATGATTCAACACTGTAGAGAATTCTAATAGAATGAACGAAGGTCCACTTGACCTACATAGAACCAGATACATAAACACGTGATTGAAATGGGAGATTAATAGAGGCGCTGAGTAATAAATAGATCGGGTAGACAATTCATTCCTGTGTGTCCGTATGTCCATCCTTTAAAGTTGTAATGCCTCTTCCGGTTCACTGAGTTGTCATTTGACGCGTTTGAGACTACTGATGGGAACTGAATATCTTCCCGGATCCTTCTTTTACTATAATACTCAGAGTGGTTCAGCATCTGAAACACGTTTCCGGGCATTTTAAGACGCTTTCTCAGTTGATCAATGTCTCAATCCATTTTTCAGTGAGGCAAATCAATTGGCACTACTTTTAACTGGATCCCTCTATAATATTTTGAAACAAATCTTGAAAAATGTGTTTCTGGATTCACCTACAGTGCGGAGAATTTCCAACAACGTTTTTGTTCTAAAGGTACGATAAGTGAGTTAGTTCCATGACATAATGTACTTATCTCCCCAAATTCCTTTAAATGCACATCCTCGTGATTCCCATTCGTTGGACTGAATCTATGTTATTGCACGAGTCATCGGAATACGTCGTGGCAATATAGTTATCAGTACAGTTCCCTGCCACATTAAAATGGTTAACAACAAATTCCATCTATCGTGATCTTTTGGTGAGTGTCGTGCCCAATATAAGTCACGTAATTATACCCCATATTTTTTATGGAGTACAGTTTTCCGCTATAAATATCGCAACGTTCGAGTTCCCACATGTGGCGAGACTCGTAAGTGGGTCCGCATCGCATACGATACAGCGCTTCAAGCCGCGCAAAAAAGCTCGCAGTAAAACGCCCTCTCCCCACGGCCTCCGCCTTGGCCGCGCGCTGGAAGCGCCCGGCGCCGCGCCGCCCCGTGGGCATGGAAATGTCGGGCGGCGCGCGAGGCACGCGAGCCCTCGCCGCCAGGCCAAGCCAGGCCAGGCCGCATCGCTCGCAGAGCGAAGTGGCGATCGCGGGGCGAGAAAGCTGGCGACCCTGGCCCACAGCGATCGCCCCGGTGCGGCGCAGATCGGCGGCGCCCGCCCGCCCGCGGGAGGTAACGCGACGCCCGCGTACGCAACCTCGCGCCGCGCGCCACTAACTTTTCGACAGAACGGTTGAAGCATGTGCAACACGTGCGGAAAGCGCGGGGTTAATTATGAATGATTCAGAATGATCGAGTACGTACGTTGTAAGCGTTTCCGGGCGCGCCGATATCTTTGTTCATTAGTCCCTGTGTGTAGTGAATGTTAGAAGCAGGAAGTTCCCTGACCCTCTCCCACTGGTTTTTGAGCGCCGGTGCCGACCTACACGCCCGCTTGAGGGGATTTCTCTTCTCCAATACCCCACCACAGCCGGGGCAAGATCTAAGCACATGACTAGTCTCCCACTATGTGGTAGTATAGTGCATGTATGTGTGTTTGTATAAGGGTAGAGGAGTGGACAAGAATAAGAAAGGAAAGAACGGGCTCAGTCCGTGACCCGTTTGTTAAGGTACTCCTTTTACATTCGTGTGGTATTGAAACCACGAAAAAAACGATCGTTGCAGACGGCTGCTAGAATTTTCCCCTAGAGAGCGGCAAAGCGGCGACCAAGCCATGAGTAAATAGTGTCATGTGTCGAAAATTCGCCATCGTCGAGACTCGATCCCTTGAACCTTGTGGTCGCGGGCCCTGCAGCGGCAGTTGTCACTGCGCCATCTCAGCCGTCAATAATTAATTAGAAGTAATTTGGCAGTAGTTACGTAAGGGAAGCAAGACAAGATAAACCGAATGTGTATTTTGTCGTAAAGGCGGGAGGAATTCTTTGTTGGCAGCACTTAATGTTTTATGCTATTTGCGAAAGCCGAGAGCCGGATCCTCACCGTTGACTTGAAAATGTGAAGTGACACGATGCGCCGCATCAAATTGGCGATTTGCTTTTGCTAAACTAATACAACCTATTACCTCTTTATATTCTACAACTGTTTGAATCTCCGCCCATTATAAAACGCATTTCACATGTCTTCCTTATATCCATCTGTTTAGAGTTTGGCGAAAAAAAACAAAAAAAACTTGCCCGTTGCGAAAGTGGCAGCCCAGGTACATCCGCACGCTCAGTTGTTTCTTCATACCTTACCGAGCGCTGCTTGTGGCAGTGTCCACTCATCCTCTTGGCTTTAGATATAACACAATATAGTGATTATATATAGTAGTTTATAATGGGAAAAGGCTCATCGGTTTATGACTATGGGGGATCGAAAAATTCTCTTGGTAACTTCCTTTTTAATCGTTTGCGATGAGTTTACTTACCTATGTGTTCATACGTTTCTAGCAAGGTCTAAATACTTCCATTTATCCTCAAGGTCACAAAATAAATTCTTCGCGTAAGATTCTGGTTGATCATATTTGGCTGTTAGAGAACACATATGTTTCGATATTTTTTATTCATAACAGAGCTTATTATGTCGAGACCTTTTATTGCGTTTGCCACGATTTTGCCAATATCGTCCACTTTCAAGACGTTTTTTGTGCCAGTACTCTTAACGTCTACTCTAAGATCGATGTTTAAGGTACGAGAATATCGAATCTGGAGCAATGCCACTGATTCCGAATGAAGTTAATTTTGATAGGTAAAGAACGAAATTGAATTCTTCTAGAATTCACAAGTAACCGATATGCGAGTTCATATATGGGCCCTGACGACAGTAGCCCAAATTTCTAGTGAGCAGGCGTAAAGAATTCTGATTCAAACAAACTTTTAAGTACAATGTATCAACAATGTCTGTCTCTGAATATACGATGTACGCAAAGTTCCAATATTATCATAATCTTCTTTCATTTTTATGTGACCTAGAAGTCTGTGTGATCCGCACCAAATGAGGTAACCTTAGGGTCGTTGCACTCGGGCAAACTGATCAAGGTGAATGTGTCGTGTAATATTACACACCTCTTTTTAGAGGTCTTTTAACTCACGTGATCAGGGGTGTCGAATTACGTCCCTCGATCCTGTTGCAACCGACTTTACAAAAAGGAAACTAGCATCTCCTTCCTCATCTAACACTCTTGTCTGGATATTTTGATTACCTGTCTAATTATAACATGATGGATTAAGATTCGTGTGTTTAAATGGCATCCTAAGTAGTTTGTCTATGTCTATTACGTCACAGACACGAGGTGAAGGATGATTCAATATCACATGACTTACGCGATACTCGAACTCACAACCCTAGACGAGAGTGGTTGGCACAACTGGAGTCTGCGCTTTTTATGTCGTCGTTGGGGTGAAAGAGGACGAATACTAACAAAAGTAGTTTCAATTTCTATGATCTTTTGGTGGAAATTATTTGTTCCAAAAGTTTGGAAAATCATGTGTTAATTGAATAATTTATTAATCCACCTATTTACGAATCTAACATGAAATATAATTGTGATAATAACCAAGTTCGACAAAGAGGGGTCTCAAACGTGATTTCACTTTCTCTTGAAATTGCAAGTCACGAAATCGCTTTCCGCATGACTTAATGCACGAGTGGTCTACTTAAGATGCTTTGTGGAATGTCGGTTTGTGTAATACGAAAGAAAAATACTTCCTTCAATCGAATACACTGAGGAATTGCACTGAAGAAGAAAAACATCATCAATGTTTTATATACACTACACTCATAATACATTTTCTGTTTAACATTTGATTTTTACTTTTTCATCAACGTAGGAAAGAGAAAGTTTCGTAACGCTGCAGCGACAAAGAGCATTTATACAATACAGAAAATGTCAATAATTCATTCGAATTAGAGAACTAGTATTTTCACTAATAACGTAGTTCTCGAACTTACAAAGAGATGTCGTCTGATTGTTAAAATCCCTTGGATACAAGTACAGAGGATTCACTTTGAACATGTATACAAATATCCGTAATTAATACACTTTCCTTCAAAAAAATTTACTACGCATTTCAGTTAAATATTTTTATTAATTGTAACTTTTTTACATTTAAGCATACATTATTCAAAATAAGTGTTTTAATTTACGCATTCTATGAAAATTACTTAATACTGAATATTGTACTCTATTGAGGCTCTTTAAGATTGTAGCCTACTTAGCACAATGGTAAAAACAAAATATTGCAAGCAGGCCACCAGTATTAAATTCTACTTGAACGAATTCAGAGATATTCGTGAGCTAACTTTATTAATCATTAATTAACTTAGAAACAAGAAATCAATGCTGCGTGATGAGAACTTACTCGAAAACTGTGGATTATTACCAGATGTTCCTACCTATATTCAAAGAAGTGTTTCGAGTTTGTAATTTGGGAAGAATTTGAAATTTATTTTAAAAAATACCAAGTTCAATTATAAAATAAGTACTAATAAAACATTATTTTTACATAACTTATTAGTTGTTATAAAAGACAAGGCACGACCGACTATAGCAATTTAAAAACAATCGAGTAGGGGAAGAGTAATCCTCGTTTTGAATATACTAACGCATGCTACAATACCTTTTTAGGTTTGTCCAGGAAACGTGACCTGGCAAGTGGCTAAGATCGAACAGGTTTCTGTTGTGCCTTCCAAAGAGTGCAAAATTATATTCATTTAGGGATCTCATAAATTACGTGTCCCATAATCTTCTTCCCAAAACGCTCGTGTTCAGGCGAACGACCGGATAATAATTCATCGGATCAATATGCACCATGCGTGATCACCACTTAACCTTTTACGCCGCTCTCATCTCGGAGAGATCTTATTTTAGTGATTTATGGAATCCCATATTATTTTGCAGAGCTAGTGATGCTCATCCCAACGAAAGATACGAGCAGAAACACTTCATTAGATTTTAGAAATCAGAATATTAAAAAAAATGTTTCTTGTGTTAATTACTTAGCATTTAATTGCGTTTATGATGAATAGAGACAGGAAATACATGCAATATGAAACGTCGAAATATGTACATATGTAAATGTGTAATGTAATAAAAATGTAATGTAAATATTTAAGGAAAACAGTAAGAATATGTAAATAAATATGTAAAATCGGATATATTAAAATACACTAATTATAAAACACATTTATATAATACAATACTACAATTATAAAAAAATTCCTAAACTAATTGTAATAAGAATACAAACGTTTTAAAAATAATTTTTAGAGCACAATTGATGTACACTTGCACTCTACAATTTCCCGTCAATAGCAAAAGCTTCATCTATGGATATCCAGGACCGTAGTTTAGCAGCCAGACCAGACGCAATAGAATCCATCGTACAATTGGCAAAATCTAAGACCAGCAAACACTGCAGCGTGCAGCATTCTCGTCGTAGTATAACAACCGGCGATCGCCAAAGTTACTCGGAAATTAAAGGTTAAATGTCGCTAAACGCGGCGTCAGTGATACATTTCACATCTAAAGGTGAAAATGATGTCAGTCGCTGACGCGCACTTCCCGCCACTGGGACAACTGAAGCATGCGCGCCGGACTCAGAACATCTGACGGCGTCTTCACGAAGTATCCTGGAGTAGAGAGCACACAATATTATGTACGAAAAAAATTTGATTAAAAAAATATCGTTTCCTACAAAAATAAAATAATTGAAGAAAATTGATATAATAAAAAATATTTTGTGAAAATAGTAAAATATGGAACATAATACTAAATATGTACGAACATATAACGGAAAAAATGGATATTGTATTTGCACGGCGACGGTTCGCCAAGATTACAATTTTGAGAACGGTAAGTAGAAAGACAAAATATATAATTACATACAAATCCGGTCTCTACTGATGAGCCCCAAAAGACAAACAAATGTCCAGTAACCTAGCCTTAGCCCAACGGGACGTGCCCACCTGGGCGGGAATGGAAAATGAGATTTGACTGAGGCGGGGGTGACGTGGGTGCGCGGGCTCATGACCGTCTCTGTGTTGCAGCGAGCTATGTGGAGCTGTGCGACCGCAACCACCCCGAGCGAGACGCTTGCTACGCCGAGAGCCTGCAGAAGTTGCTGCCCATCCTCGCCAACGGTGAGTGCTCTTTGACCTTCTTCATCATGTTTATGTATGACTAACCCAAAGCTTCAGGATGTCTCGGAAGAAACAGTTTTGGGGCTGTGCAAAGGTCGGATATGTTTACCGTAGCAAATGAACAAAAAGTCGAAAATTTCATATAGATAGATAATATGTTTATTTTAGGTAATATGATTATTCAACCACACATAGATAATATGTTTATTCAACCACTTGGGTTATTAGCGACCTCAAATTCCATATAGCTGAGTCACGCATCTGTTACTCCTGATTGTTAGAGAACTTCTCTTGCACAGGTGTTCTGCAAATCACGATCTGACGCAACAATGAGATTTCATGTGCATGTGCAAAGGGGATTGCCTAACATTCAGGGACAAAATTGCCATGTGTAATTCTGAAATATGAAATTTTCCACTATATGTTCGTTGGCAAAGATTGATTATTTTCGATCCTTCTATATGCCGTGGAAGTTTGTAAAAGTATTCTGAGACATCAGTACAACAATTTGCAAACGTTCAAAAAGCGTTGCTAAGAAATTGCTACCCCCCATTCGGGGATTTGAATCAGCTGACTTAAATCATTAATCCATACATTAATAGTTATTTACAACGTAAATATCGTAAGACATTTTAATATAATACGATTTTGATATCCACTCGAGGGTTTTAATTAGATTTTACAATATGAATATCGAACAATTTACAAATCTTAGTAAAAATTGCAATAAACTACATTTTTTGTTAAAATTTAAATATTCGACCTGTGAAAAGTGACATACTGATGTAGACAGAAGTTGTTATTACATTCAGAAACTGGATATTTCTGTTAATAGTGGGCCATGGATTATAACATTTGTATAATAATGACCCTTACTACGACACAGAATAGTGTCGTTGCAATTTTGTCCAACTTTTGAATTTATGTTTCATTTAGAATGAATTATGCTCTTCAAAATATAAAAATAAACAATTCAATTGCATAAAATTCGGAGCAACAAAACTTAGAAAAGTGCCATACTTGTGTTTTGGAAAATATTTTTGGTTATTCATCGGTCACTCTAGTAATTTGAAGAAAAAATTATGGAATTGAGGTATATCGTCCAACCGAGAACACTGTCGGACACTGCTGATCACAGTCGGGAATTATGACACGGGAAACAGAACACCGATGTTGAGAAATATTTGGGAGTATTTCAACCATTCAAATATTAAAGAATTTCTCGCTAGAGCTATTGGAGACCTTTTATTTTAATGTACTCTTAGTGGGATGTAGAATAGCTAGTGGTACATTATTTATAACGTGTATTACTCGTCTTACTTATCAGCAAGATTACAATGTGCGGTACATTACATTCGTCTTTCCCATGAACAAAACATACGCAAATAATAGTCTTACATAAAGCGACTCTCTTAACTATCTACATTCACCATCTCTTGCGTACTTGACGAGTTTTACCTCCAATTTGAAGTAGGAGCCAAAACGCGATTTCAGGTTAGATTTAATGGTTCCTTGATCTCTTCCTAAACGAAGTGTCATGGCCATTTCCGACCTCCGGAAATACTCGAGGTCACACTTCTTTCCAGTAATTTAAAGCGAAAATAAATAAGCACAGTCAAATTATACGCAAATATAACTGTGCTTGAGTTTACAATGCAAATATCATCGTTTTACTTTGTTGGACGTAAACATAAACATCACAATAAGTCGCAATTTAGTTTTGCCTTTCATTATGCCACACTGCTTAGGTACAGTCTCAATGAGTAGACTCGACGCAAGATATTATGGGTTTTATAAAAGAGTATTCATCTCTTTAATAGAGCGAGATAACTCAATGTAACATTGTGTTTATAGAATTGTTTTTCTTTAAACGTTTCGGTTATATTGAATAGTTTAACAGCTCTTTCGGAAATCTGTACTTTGAAATACATTTTAAGTCAACAAAACATACCGTTTTCATTTTTAACCGATCTTGCCTAACGCAGATCAGCAAATGTGCAAGTAACTTTCCCTGGAGCAGTACGCCGATATGAACCTGCGCGAACCGAATTTTTTGAAACAGTATATTAAATGTACAGAATTAATTTTTCAAAATTTTGAAGAAATTTTGAGAATGGATGTTAGATTTTAAACGAGTAATTTGTATGCAGAATGTAACCATATTTGAAACGCAAATAATAACTTATTTATAATACATTACACTTTGAGAGGCATCCTTAGTTCTACAAAGAAGACTGAAATAATCGATGTACATACATTTCTTGAGATCTCTTGTCGACTGAACAGCGGCGTATTCTCGGTTCGGCCATTAGGTGTTGTTCCTTTTTTCAGTATTCATTTGAAATAAAGAATCCGAGGAAAGCACAGTGTGAAACTGCGCGCATTTCACTAAGGCCGTTCAGGAACGGGCTTGCTCACGCCACCTGAACTCGACGTCGTCAATCGGGCGAAGTGCCTTGAGAATCCTTTCCTGGTGCTTCGCGCCGGGCGTGGGGCGTGGGGCGCTGGCGTGGGGCGAGGGCCGGCGGCGGTGACTAGCAGCATTCCGACCCGCGCGCTCTGTCTTCAGCAGTCAAACCTCCGTCCCTAGGTGGGGCATTTGGAGGGACGCCAACGCGGGGCGGGGAGGCGTGCGGCTGGGAGGCGAGGGCGGTGTGAGGCGAGGGGGGGGAGGTTGGGAGGCGAGGGGCGGAGCGGGGGTGGCGAGGGATGGGAGGCGAGGAGGCGGGGCGGGGCGCGGGCGCCGGCGTCCTTCGACTAAGCGATTCTGCTTCGTCAGATACACGCTTCGCTTTGTTTCGTTCCGCTACTCGCTGGGTTTACTCGCTCGGTACTCGCTCCGTACTCGCTCCGTACTCGCTCCGTCCTCGCTGCGTACTCGCTCCGTCCTCGCTCCGTGCTCGCTCCGTACTCGCTCCGTACACGCTCCGTACACGCTCCGTACACGCTCCGTACACGCTCCGTACTCGCTCCGTGCTCGCTCCGTGCTCGCTCCGTACACGCTCCGTACTCGCTCCGTACTCGCTCCGTACTCGCTCCGTACTCGCTCCGTACTCGCTCCGTACTCGCTCCGTACACGCTCCGTACACGCTCCGTACACGCTCCGTATTCGCTCCGTATTCGCTCCGTACACGCTCCGTACACGCTCCGTATTCGCTCCGTATTCGCTCCGTACACGCTCTGTACTCGCTCCGTACTCGCTCCGTAAGGAAGGACGAGCGCAGAACGAGTTCAAACAAGAATAATTTGATCTTTGGTCTTAACAATAAAACGCACGACAGGCCGACACGAAAAGATGAAGTGACCTACGCGGGGCTCGGGAGAACCTGACCACCTCTGTTCGATTCCCAGCTTTGAGATGAGTGGTTGCGCTTGTCGAAAATCTCTCTCCCAATTACTATTTCATCCCCTTCTGTCCATCGTTGTGACTCACTATCCTGTTTGTAACTAAGTAGTTTTTCTCAAAAAGCTATTTCAAGGTTGTATTAATTTGCGTGTAACTCAATGGATACGAAGTTTCAACTCGACTTCTCTCGATTGTTTGCGAGAATTAGATCCTGTAGCAGCAATCGTAGACAAGCGAACAAGACGTACACACAATTGTGGAATATTTGTACGATTTATACGTTGCAACCCATTAAATGTATACTAAGAAATCCAATTTAGATTAAACAAAGTTAAGCGTTACAATTTGAATATCCCATTCACAATTAATAATTTTCTTTTCTTTTAAAAGTGGTGACACCGCTTATATTTGTTGCTATGGAAACTTGCCCTAAACTTCTTGCTCATTTAAAGCAGAAGTTAGGATATCCTAATTGCTTCCTCCCTTTCGTATATTCGCAAGTACATGAGGGTGTAATTACAATACAGTGGGGCTTCTGAATCAAGAAAATCACCTCATAATGTGTCCGAACGTATGCCGATATGAAAAAAAATTAAAAAAGAATTAAGAGGAAATAGGAACATTGAAAACTCGGCCCTGAATATATATTGAAGCATTATTCGAATATTTATAGTGAATGCTAATCACGAATTTTAGAAAATAAATTTAAGGGAAATAAAGGAACACTGAAAACTCGGCCTGAATATATATTGAACATTATTCTGAAATATTTAAGTGAATTTGCAATAATCTAGAATGATCAAACTACTGACCTCGAAACTTATTGAAAGCCTTGAGAGAGTTTTGAAATAGAAGATTCACACTTCAGAACCAAGCAAATACTACCCGAGAAATCCGATTAACAAGATACGAACCATTTCAAGTACTTCATTGAAAAGTAAAATTCATACTTCAGATTACGACAGGAGAAGAGATTATCTGCCACAATTTTTGTTTCTCTTTTGACCTTGAGTTTCTGGTAACGGAAGTGACCTCCAATTGAATGTCGTCATGATTTGAGTGAGGCCAATGTATTTATAGAGAACTAGCGGACCCGGAAATGCTTCGCTACTCCAGACCATGAAATAAATACAATTTAAATTCGATATCAATTCATTAAATGAAGATTAACTCCGTAATAACTACACATTACTATATTATACTACATTTTAAAAATCAAATATTCGGATAATGTTGCACACCGCCTTCAGCATTTGGTTTCACACTTCTCATAGATCATAGATCTCACTTCAAGCAAGGTTAGACAACAAAAATTCGAACAGCAACACCGCAACAGCAATACTGACGCAATAATTATAAACAATCATTCGAAACAAGTCGCTTCTTTAACACTGAGTTTACCAATTATATCCTTCTAGCATGCTGAGGGAACACAATCGTTCCTCAGGCAAGAGATCGCCTTCGTTTGTAAGTGGTCAACGCAACTTCTCTACAAAAACAGGTTGGCCTCGAAATCGTTTTCTTTTTTCCTTCTCTTTTCAAGTCATCAAGGAAACATATTTTGTCGCTGTGAATTTCCAGAGAAGGAGTTAAAGCAGAGAATTGATAAGTAGTGAGCTGAAACAACCAGGGCTCCGTTGTTGATAATGAAAAG